TGTGAGTGGACACACCGCCATAGTGACAGTATTGGGCAGCGCCACTCATCCTGTGAGTGGACACACCGCCATAGCAGCATGTACAACACTCCCCAATAGGAAGAAAACCCGCTGGGTTGTTCATCCTGTCACTTGTACCCAGACACAGCTGGGACTTGCTTAACTGTCTCAAGTGAACAGTTTATCAGCTCTCAAAATATACTCTCTAGCAAGAAGGCGAGATATGTATCACATAACTTACACATGGAAGATCGTAACTTACACATGGAAGATCATAACTTACACATGGAAGATCGTAACTTACACATGGGAGATGATAACTTACACATGAAGATCATAACTTACACATGAAGATCATAACTTACACATGAAGATCGTAACTTACACATGGAAGATCGTAACTTACACATGGGAGATGATAACTTACACATGAAGATCATAACTTACACATGAAGATCATAACTTACACATGAAGATCGTAACTTACACATGGAAGATCGTAACTTACACATGGGAGATGATAACTTACACATGAAGATCATAACTTACACATGAAGATCATAACTTACACATGAAGATCGTAACTTACACATGAAGATCATAACTTACACATGGAAGATCGTAACTTACACATGGAAGATCGTAACTTACACATGGAAGATCATAACTTACACATGGAAGATCGTAACTTACACATGGAAGATCATAACTTACACATGGAAGATCATAACTTACACATGGAAGATCATAACTTACACATGGAAGATCATCGCGTTGGACTGAAAGATAAGATAGAACTAGAACTACTATCAGGGAAAAGCACCAAGCCATTACGACTGTATAGCACTTCAAAGGGGTCAGGATAAGGAATTGCGATCAGATGGGAGAGAAAGAATGGTGCCCAACCACTTCTGGACGATCGGGGATTGAACTCGGACCTGCACGAAGAGCAGAGATGTCACAAACATCAGCGTCCCACAGCTGCTGGACTGATGTTTACTGATGTTGAGGCTCCACCCACTAAAATAACATATCTCCACGGAACACATGTGGATGTTTTGAATTTGAATTTGAAAAATTTGAATTCTAATTTTGAATTTGAAACTAAATATTCCTGCAGGGAGCGACCGATAAGCCTGGTAGTAATTGCTACGTTGGCCTGCGTACGGCGGCAAGCAACAGCATGATCGATCACGCTATCACCTGATAAGCCAGGCTCCAGGCGGAGCTTTGGGATTAACAAAAAAAGGAATATATGGAACTCGACAACAGGTACTCTGGCTAGAGGGTGGAGTGGGTGGTGGGTGGGGGTGGGGGGTGGAGACAGGGTGTTGGGTGGGACCAGTCTCTCTCTCTCTCTCTCTCTCTCTCTCTCTCTCTCTCTCTCTCTCTCTCTCTCTCGAGGGGGGGAGGGATAGAGCCGTGGGCGGCCACTTGAGGGCGGTAGAGAGCCGTGGGCGGCCACTTGAGGGCGGTAGAGAGCCGTGGGCGGCCAGTTGAGGGCGGGAAAGAGTCGTGGGCGGCCACTTGAGGGCGGGAGAGAGCCGTGGGCGGCCACTTGAGGTGGGCGGCCACTTGAGGGCTGTATAGAGCCGTGGGCGGCCACTTGAGGGCGGGAGGAGAGCCGTGGGCGGCCACTTGAGGGCGGGATAGAGCCGTGGGCGGCCACTTGAGGGCTGTATAGAGCCGTGGGCGGCCACTTGAGGGCTGTATAGAGCCGTGGGCGGCCACTTGAGGGCGGGAGAGAGCCGTGGGCGGCCACTTGAGGGCGGGATAGGCCGTGGGCGGCCACTTGAGGGCGGGAGAGAGCCGTGGGCGGCCACTTGAGGGCGGGAGCCGTGGGCGGGGGCGGGAGAGAGCCACTTGAGGGCGGGAGAGAGCCGTGGGCGGCCACTTGAGGGCGGGAGAGAGCCGTGGGCGGCCACTTGAGGGCTTGAGCCGTGGGCGGCCACTTGAGGAGCCGTGGGCGGCCACTTGAGGGCGGGAGAGAGCCGTGGGCGGCCACTTGAGGGCGGGATAGAGCCGTGGGCGGCCACTTGAGGGCGGGAGAGAGCCGTGGGCGGCCACTTGAGGGCGGGAGAGAGCCGTGGGCGGCCACTTGAGGGCGGGAGAGAGCCGTGGGCGGCCACTTGCGGGCGGGAGAGAGCCGTGGGCGGCCACTTGCGGGCGGGAGAGAGCCGTGGGCGGCCACTTGCGGGCGGGAGAGAGCCGTGGGCGGCCACTTGAGGGCTGTATAGAGCCGTGGGCGGCCACTTGAGGGCGGGAGAGAGCCGTGGGCGGCCACTTGAGGGCGGGATAGAGCCGTGGGCGGCCACTTGAGGGCGGGATAGAGCCGTGGGCGGCCACTTGAGGGCGGGAGAGAGCCGTGGGCGGCCACTTGAGGGCGGGAGAGAGCCGTGGGCGGCCACTTGAGGGCGGGAGAGAGCCGTGGGCGGCCACTTGAGGGCGGGAGAGAGCCGTGGGCGGCCACTTGAGGGCGGAATAGAGCCGTGGGCGGCCACTTGAGGGCGGGAGACACTCTTGTTCTTCAGAGACCACTTCACTGCCTCACCATGGCTAGTTAGCACTCCTTACTACCCCAGACTAGCCATCACCCATCTTGGCCAGATGGGTGATGGCTATGACACCCATCAGTATCAACCATATAACAAGATAACTTAAAAACACCAATCGCGACAAGGATTTGGTAGTTGAGAATAATTGGCAGTTGAGCCTAACCCCCCAAGACGGTCGTGTGAGGCCTACAGAAGTCACTTAGAAACATTAACAGCCTAACAAGACTGGCTGTGATATCCTGGTACAAGCACTTGGATATCCTGATAACACTTCTAGATACAGATCAAACACCTCACTTTCATTGAGCCGTGAAATTTGGGCCACTACACTAGGCCTAAAAATATGCTATACTGGGCCTACATGGGATACAAATTCACCGGAAAGCACTCAGAAGAAAAGTTAATCACCAGTATATAAATCTTGGATAAGCACCTCCAAAGGATACCTGATCAACCAGGCTGTGACTCATACGTCAGGCTGCTAGCAGCCGCGTCCAACAGCCTGGTTGATCAGTCCAGCAACCAGGAGACCTGGTCGACGACCGGGCCGCGGGGACGCTAAGCCCCGGAAGCACCTCAAGGTATCTAGGCCTATCCTTCTAATATCAAAAGGAGCTGCCACTAGCGAAGAGTTAGGCCTATGGTCAGGGTGCATAAATGGATGAATGGCATTAGGGTTAAATAAGTAAGATTATGAAAATCAAAAAAGAATTTGTAATTATGGTATGGGAGCCGGTCGGCCGAGCGGACAGCACGCTGGACTTGTGATCCTGTGGTCCTGGGTTCGATCCCAGGCGCCGGCGAGAAACAATGGGCAGAGTTTCTTTCACCCTATGCCCCCTGTTACCTAGCAGTGAAATAGGTACCTGGGTGTTAGTCAGCTGTCACGGGCTGCTTCCTGGGGGTGGAGGCCTGGTCGAGGACCGGGCCGCGGGGACACTAAAAGCCCCGAAATCATCTCAAGATAACCTCAAGATGGTCAAGATTCTGAACGGTTTTAACAGCCTATGGACGATGCTGGAATTAAATTATTTAAACTAAAATAGGCTCTGCCTCCTATGTGATTCGTCCAATCAATTTGGCTGGACGGTAGAGCGACGGTCTCGCTTCATGCAGGCCGGCGTTCAATCCTCGACCGTCCAAGTGGTTGGGCACCATTCCTTTCCCCCGTCCCATCCATAATCCTTATTCTGACCCCTTCCCAGTGCTGTATAGTCGTAATGGCTTGGTGCTTTCTCCTGATATTTCCCTCCCTCCCCTTCTATGTGACTCGGGCTGCGAGCAGCCACGGCCAACAGCCTGGTTGACCAGACCTTCAACCAAGAGGTGTGGCTTCACGCCAGAGACTGGGCCGCGGGGACGTTGATTCCGGAAACCAACTCAAAGGGTATGTGGGCGACTAGCAATGAGCGCTAACTAGCCCCTAGCCACGCTGGGCGACTAGCAGTGGGTGCTAACTAGCCCCTAGCCACGCTGGGCGACTAGCAATGAGCGCTAACTAGCCCCTAGCCACGCTGGGCGACTAGCAGTGGGTGCTAACTAGCCCCTAGCCACGCTGGGCGACTAGCAGTGGGCGCTAACTAGCCCCTAGCCACGCTGGGCGACTAGCAATGAGCGCTAACTAGCCCCTAGCCACGCTGGGCGACTAGCAGTGGGCGCTAACTAGCCCCTAGCCACGCTGGGCGACTAGCAGTGGGTGCTAACTAGCCCCTAGCCACGCTGGGCGACTAGCAGGGGCTGGCCCCTAGCTAACTAGCCCTAGCCCCTAGCCACGCTGGGCGACTAGCAGTGGGTGCTAACTAGCCCCTAGCCACGCTGGGCGACTAGCAGTGGCTGCTAACTAGCCCCTAGCCACGCTGGGCGACTAGCAGTGGGTGCTAACTAGCCCCTAGCCACGCTGGGCGACTAGCAGTGGCTGCTAACTAGCCCCTAGCCACGCTGGGCGACTAGCAGTGGGTGCTAACTAGCCCCTAGCCACGCTGGGCGACTAGCAGTGGGTGCTAACTAGCCCCTAGCCACGCTGGGCGACTAGCAGTGGCTGCTAACTAGCCCCTAGCCACGCTGGGCGACTAGCAGTGGCTGCTAACTAGCCCCTAGCCACGCTGGGCGACTAGCAGTGGCTGCTAACTAGCCCCTAGCCACGCTGGGCGACTAGCAGTGGGTGCTACCTAGCCCCTAGCCACGCTGGGCGACTAGCAGTGGGTGCTAACTAGCCCCTAGCCACGCTGGGCGACTAGCAGTGGCTGCTAACTAGCCCCTAGCCACGCTGGGCGACTAGCAGTGGCTGCTAACTAGCCCCTAGCCACGCTGGGCGACTAGCAGTGGGCCACGCTGCTAACTAGCCCCTAGCCACGCTGGGCGACTAGCAGTGGGTGCTAACTAGCCCCTAGCCACGCTGGGCGACTAGCAGTGGGTGCTAACTAGCCCTAGCCACGCTACTAGCAGTGGCTGCTACTAGCCCTAACTAGCCCCTACGCTGGGCGACTAGCAGTGGGCGACTAGCTAACTAGCCCCTAGCCACGCTGGGCGACTAGCAGTGGCTGCTAACTAGCCCCTAGCCACGCTGGGCGACTAGCAGTGGCTGCTAACTAGCCCCTAGCCACGCTGGGCGACTAGCAGTGGGTGCTAACTAGCCCCTAGCCACGCTGGGCGACTAGCAGTGGCTGCTAACTAGCCCCTAGCCACGCTGGGCGACTAGCAGTGGCTGCTAACTAGCCCCTAGCCACGCTGGGCGACTAGCAGTGGCTGCTAACTAGCCCCTAGCCACGCTGGGCGACTAGCAGTGGCTGCTAACTAGCCCCTAGCCACGCTGGGCGACTAGCAGTGGCTGCTAACTAGCCCCTAGCCACGCTGGGCGACTAGCAGTGGCTGCTAACTAGCCCCTAGCCACGCTGGGCGACTAGCAGTGGCTGCTAACTAGCCCCTAGCCACGCTGGGCGACTAGCAGTGCTACCTAGCCCCTAGCCACGCTGGGCGACTAGCAGTGGGTGCTAACTAGCCCCTAGCCACGCTGGGCGACTAGCAGTGGCTGCTAACTAGCCCCTAGCCACGCTGGGCGACTAGCAGTGGCTGCTAACTAGCCCCTAGCCACGCTGGGCGACTAGCAGTGGCTGCTAACTAGCCCCTAGCCACGCTAGCAGTGGCTGCTAACTAGCCCCTAGCCACGCACTAGCAGTGGCTGCTAACTAGCCCCTAGCCACGCTGGGCGACTAGCAGTGGCTGCTAACTAGCCCCTAGCCACGCTGGGCGACTAGCAGTGGGTGCTAACTAGCCCCTAGCCACGCTGGGCGACTAGCACTAGCCCCTAGCCACGCTGGGCGACTAGCAGTGGCTGCTAACTAGCCCCTAGCCACGCTGGGCGACTAGCAGTGGCTGCTAACTAGCCCCTAGCCACGCTGGGCGACTAGCAGTGGCTGCTAACTAGCCCCTAGCCACGCTGGGCGACTAGCAGGGGCTGCTAACTAGCCCCTAGCCACGCTGGGCGACTAGCAGGGGCTGCTAACTAGCCCCTAGCCACGCTGGGCGACTAGCAGGGGCTGCTAACTAGCCCCTAGCCACGCTGGGCGACTAGCAGTGGCTGCTAACTAGCCCCTAGCCACGCTGAGCGACTAGCAGTGGCTGCTAACTAGCCCCTAGCCACGCTGGGCGACTAGCAGTGGCTGCTAACTAGCCCCTAGCCACGCTGGGCGACTAGCAGTGGCTGCTAACTAGCCCCTAGCCACGCTGGGCGACTAGCAGGGGCTGCTAACTAGCCCCTAGCCACGCTGGGCGACTAGCAGCCACGCTGGGCGACTAGCAGGGGCTGCTAACTAGCCCCTAGCCACGCTGAGCGACTAGCAGGGGCTGCTAACTAGCCCCTAGCCACGCTGGGCGACTAGCAGGGGCTGCTAACTAGCCCCTAGCCACGCTGAGCGACTAGCAGGGGCTGCTAACTAGCCCCTAGCCACGCTGAGCGACTAGCAGTGGCTGCTAACTAGCCCCTAGCCACGCTGGGCGACTAGCAGGGGCTGCTAACTAGCCCCTAGCCACGCTGGGCGACTAGCAGTGGCTGCTAACTAGCCCCTAGCCACGCTGGGCGACTAGCAGGGGCTGCTAACTAGCCCCTAGCCACGCTGGGCGACTAGCAGTGGCTGCTAACTAGCCCCTAGCCACGCTGGGCGACTAGCAGGGGCTGCTAACTAGCCCCTAGCCACGCTGAGCGACTAGCAGTGGCTGCTAACTAGCCCCTAGCCACGCTGGGCGACTAGCAGGGGCTGCTAACTAGCCCCTAGCCACGCTGGGCGACTAGCAGGGGCTGCTAACTAGCCCCTAGCCACGCTGGGCGACTAGCAGTGGCTGCTAACTAGCCCCTAGCCACGCTGGGCGGCTAGCAGGGGCTGCTAACTAGCCCCTAGCCACGCTGGGCGACTAGCAGTGGCTGCTAACTAGCCCCTAGCCACGCTGGGCGACTAGCAGGGGCTGCTAACTAGCCCCTAGCCACGCTGGGCGACTAGCAGGGGCTGCTAACTAGCCCCTAGCCACGCTGAGCGACTAGCAGTGGCTGCTAACTAGCCCCTAGCCACGCTGGGCGACTAGCAGGGGCTGCTAACTAGCCCCTAGCCACGCTGAGCGACTAGCAGTGGCTGCTAACTAGCCCCTAGCCACGCTGAGCGACTAGCAGTGGCTGCTAACTAGCCCCTAGCCACGCTGGGCGACTAGCAGGGGCTGCTAACTAGCCCCTAGCCACGCTGACTAGCAGAACTAGCCCCTAGCCACGCTGGCGACTGCTAACTAGCCCCTAGCCACGCTGGGCGACTAGCAGGGGCTGCTAACTAGCCCCTAGCCACGCTGAGCGACTAGCAGTGGCTGCTAACTAGCCCCTAGCCACGCTGGGCGACTAGCAGGGGCTGCTAACTAGCCCCTAGCCACGCTGGGCGACTAGGGACCCCGTGACGGGGGGTTTACC